ACTGTATAGAGTTTTGTGTTTCCACTTTTGGTGTACATTCACATGTACCTCAGTGCACATAAAAAAAATTACTTCATGCCTGGATGGAAAAATCTGCATGTGGGTGGAAAAGATTAAAGGGAACATTGCTCAGCAGCACCTGCAATCTTGGCTTGATTTTCAAAAGAGCTCCACTTCAATGTAGGCACCAAAACACCTGGTTAAATTTTCCAATGCACTCAGAGTGGCCTGGGTATTGAGCTCTTGAGAATGTGGCCAGTGGTGACACAATGGATGTGCTGGAGGCTGAGCCATTTTCAAAACTTAGTCCTGTCAGTGCAGAGCACTTGAAAAACTGGCCTGAGCTCTTTTAAAATCTGAGCCCAAATGTTTTTGAGACATTTGGGTTTTCTGGCTATGACCTCTTCTTTAGTCCTCTGATCTCTGTCCCGATGGACTTTGTCCATGATTCTTCCTTGCCTTCAGACCCGGGTGACTGTAATGGCAGCTGCTCTCAGCAGTCCAGCCTGGAAAACATTGCCACTGCCAGCAGCAGCTCATAAGGAAGGGTGGCAATACCAAGGCTTGCTCCATTTTCTTCTGTGCTGCTGGTGGGACTGACTTCAAAGCTGGGCTCCTGCTCTCTCTAGCCACACAGCTTGGAAGATAGACATGCCACCGGCAGTGACACAGAAGTATGGGTGGCAATACCATGCCACACCACCCTTCCTTCTGTGCTGCTGCTGGCAGTAGCACCGCCATCTGAACTGGGCACCTAACCAGAGGCCATTGCTCTGCGCTGCGATGCTCTCTGGGAGCTGGTCCTGAGGTTGATTGGACAAGAAAGGATGCGTTGTTCCTTTAGGGATGGCAGGCCTGGCATTGCTGGGTGTGTTCAGTGGAAAGGAAGGAGTTCAGACTGCATGTGCCAAAGCACTACACTGCACTGGCATGAGGAAGCTTCTCTGCCCCTCAGATAAGCTCTGGAATGGCAGTGAGGAAGCCATTTCCATCCTGTCTGTAGCTTGACCCTGCAGGTCCTCAGGAAGAGGCATTTAGCACTCTCTTCACATGCTGCCCCCTCTACCCTGGGACCTGTCCCCAAGGAGTATGGGCTGTTCTGTCCCCATAGCACCCTCCCTTGCTGAGCACCTCTCTGGCTGCGTTCACTGAAGTCCCTACGGTCAGATTCCCTGGTGCTCAATGCACCCTTGGGGCTTAAGTCCTCCCTGCACTCATGTTAGCCAGGCGACTAGAGGGGACTGGGTTAGGTCCATGGCTAGCAGCAGAATGGAGATGTTAGCTGCCTTTCTACACTGTGCAGGCAGCAAGGACAAGCTGCTTCTAGCCATAGCAGAAAAGGGATGAGAGGGAAGAGATGATGTCTGGAAAAACGCAGGCCAGATCATCCCCACCTCCACCCCCATTTCTCTGGATGCAGCTCCCTCCTGCACAATGCCGAAGGGCTGCTGCTTGCCATGTTCTGGTGTGAACCCCAACAGAAAGCAGGGGAGGGGTCATGTGACCCTGCATATCCCCCACATGTTGCCTTAAGAAGGTACCAGGACAGGTGGGTCCACTCCAGGTCTCCAGCCAGGTTGGGTCAGGTCAGCTTGTCACCCCCAGCTCCATGCGAGAGAGGTGTAAAGGAATGTGTGTGTCACCTCTCCCTGTGCAAACCTTCAAGATAAGAAGGTAAAACAACTTCAACTATGCAGCAGTTCTTTTTAGCAGGGGTTCAGCCAACCTGATGTTAATTTGAACATTTGTACTGCGCAGTTCTGATTGATTGCCACTGAACTCGCTTGAATATGAGTAAGGGCTGGTGATGTTATGTGTGATCTCTGCTGCCCACCCATTCACCCTTTTCATGCTTCCTCTCTCAATGTTCTCTCCCCGCTGTGCCCATTCATCCTGCACCTCCTCCATAGCCTCCCTGGCAGGGTGTGCTCTACTCCCAGCACTGTGCAGACAGCCAATCCCATCAACAGCCTGTCTGGCAGGCTTCTTCCTCCCCACACTGCCTCTGGCTGGGCTGGCACCCAGGGAAAGCTCAAGACCCTTTGGCCCGGGGCAATGGACAGGAGAGCTAAGCCCTGCCTGTGCCAAAGCCCTGCACAGTACTGGCATAGGGAAGCTTCTTCACCACTCATCTAAGCTCTGAAGTGTTGGAGAGAAAAGTATTTCCAGCCTGCTTTTGCCCTGACCCTACAGCAGCTCCCTGGCAGGGCTTAGCACCCTAGGTTCTGATCCCAGGCAATGTGGGGCTGATCTGTCCCCTAGAAACCTTCCCCTGCTGAGCCACCTCTCTGGCTGGGGTCTCTGAAGCCCCTGAAGGAAAGTTTCCTAGGCCCTGGTACACAAGATATCCTCCTGTCCACTCTGTAACCCGAGGGTAGAAGGGACAAACTGCTTGCAGCCACCATTAGAGGAATAAGGAGGGAAGGAAGAGATAAGCTCTGCAAAGAAACAGACCAAGTTAACTCTACCCCCACCCCCTGCAGCTGGAAGCAGTTTCCATCCCTTTCTTCCCACACAGTGCTAAAAAGCTGCTGCTGGATGTGCTAAGGTGTGAACCCTCCCAGAAATCTGAGGAGGAGGAGCCTGTGGCCCTGCGTGCCTTCCCCATGCGTTGGTTCAAGGTACAGAGAGAGGTGGGTCCATTCCAGGGGTCCACTCATGCATGGAAAGTGGAGAGCGCCGAGCAGAGATGGTTGGGACAGGTTGGTAAGTTACTCTCATCCCTACCTGAGAGAGGTGTTTGGGAGTGTGCATGTCTCACCTCTCCACATACAAATCTTAGAGATAAGAAGGTAAATAGAAAGAATACCAATTTCACTGTATTTCTTTTTAATACGGGGCTCCGTCAACTTGATATTAATTTGAATGTTTGTACTACATAGCGTTGGTTGATTGCTGTTGAACTCACTTGAATACAAGTAATTTTACAAGCTGTCATATAGGGAAATACGGTCACCCCACAGAGGTGCTAAAAATTCATATGTCCCTTTATATTTCAACCACCATTCTCGAGGACATGCATCTATGTTGATGACAAGTTCTGCTCAATAGTGATCCATTTCACCCATGATCATTTTCATCCTCTGACGCAGATGCCACCAGCAGGTTGACTTTCTTTTTTAGTGGTTCAGGTTCTGTAGTTTCCACCAAAGAATGGTGCTCTTTGAAGGCTTCTGCAAGCATGTTCTACACTCTGTCCCTCTCAGATTTTGGAAAACACTTCAGATTCTCAAACCTTGAGTCAACTGCTGTAGCTAACTGAAAAAAGCTCACATCCAGACCCTCTTTGTATTTCACCAGATCTGCAGTGAAAGTGTTTTTAGAGTGAACAACATGCTGGGTCATCATCCAAGACTGCTATCACATGAAATGTATAGGAGAATGCAGGAAAAACAGAGCAGGAAACATACAATTCTCCCCCAAGGAGTGTAATGAGTATCATCATCAGAGAAGCATAACATCTGTAATGGTAGCTGAAGTATGAAGAGGAACAAAAATGTTTTGTTTATCTGGCACATAAATACTACACAACACCACCTACAAAAACATCATGGGAATGCCTGTTCTCACTTTCAGGGGACAATGTAAATAAGAAGTGTAAGAAAACATATGTAAACAAACTGGTTTGTCTTAGTCATTGAACAAGAAGTAGGACTCTGTGGACTTGTGGGCACTTAAGTTTTACACAGTTTTGTTTTAAATGCAGTTGTGTAACAAAAGTACATTTGTAAATTGCACTTTCATGATAAAGAGAATACATTGCAGTGCTTGTATTAGGTGAATTAAAATACTATTTATTTTTTAAAACAAAAGACAGGACTATGCAGCACTTCAAAGACTAACAAGATGATGAGCTTGCGTGGGCCAGACCCACTTCCTCAGATCAAATTGTGGAAGAAAATTAGCATGTCTGAGGAAGTGGGTCTGGCCCAGGCAACCTCATCACCTAATAAACCATCTTGTTAGTCTTTGAAGTGCTGCATAGTTCTGTCTTTTGTTTCAGCAAAACCAGACAAACATGGCTACATCTCTATTACTATCATTTTTTAGTTCAGCTTATTTGTAATAAAATAGCACTTCACACTTAAAATTGTGCTAAATGAAATCAGTATCAGTTGGTATTCTTATTTAACAATGATTAAAACAATTAACTTTTGTTCATTATGATTTTTTACTTGCATGCATTAACTGCAATTAATCGACAGCCCTACTTTATTTACAACTTATCGTTTCAAAAATAATGCAATTCCTTAAGCTATCGTGGCACATGACAATGGATTGTTAAATCAGGATTTAGGGCTTGCTCCTGTTTCAGCAGAAGACAGTGAGATTTTGGCCAGTGACACGAAAGGCAGCAGGATTAGGCCCTAAATGCCCAGTAAAAACAGGCTGGGGGGGTTAGTTTCTGGTTTTATCTCCAGATCGCTTCCCAGAGCGACTCAGCGCTGTGCAGGGCTGCCGAGAGGAGAGGCTTGCCTTGAGCTGCTAACACGCTGTGTTCATAGGAGTGGCGGCTCTGGGCTGTGAGACCCGTAGCTGTGTAATGAACCTGCTCCCCTCCACCCCCCAGTCCTGAGCCACGTGGGGCGATCAGTGTGTAGGCGAGCAGGTGTGTGCAGTGCGCGGGAGGACAGAGTCAGGGCCTGCGCTGTGCTCAGGAAACATCCCCTTGCGCCCTCCCTCACCAAGCCACCCCCTTCCCAGGCGAGGAGCTCCATCGCCACCTTTTCCCGGCGCCTCGGCTGGCCTGGGAGCCGGGCTCCAGGAAGGGGAATTCATCAGCAGCAGCAGCAGCAGCGCGCCGGGGGCAGGATGCTGCGCGGCGTCCCCGCTTAGAGCCGGGGAGGAGGCGAAAGCCGCGCTCTGCCCGCAGCCGCGTCTCTTTGCCAGGGGGGCAGCCAAGATGGAAGAAATCCTGAGGAAGCTGCAAAAGGACGCGTCGGGGAACAAGCACAGAGCGATCAAGGAGAGCTGCGGCTGGGCCATTGGTAAGGAAGCGGGTCGCTCTGCCCGCAGCCGCGTCTCTTTGCCAGGGGGGCAGCCAAGATGGAAGAAATCCTGAGGAAGCTGCAAAAGGACGCGTCGGGGAACAAGCACAGAGCGATCAAGGAGAGCTGCGGCTGGGCCATTGGTAAGGAAGCGGGTACCTGCCCCCCGGCGCTTTCTCCCAAGGCTTGCCCCGTTTCCCCCCGCCAGAGAACAGCCAGCCTGCTCGGCCCGGCTCCTTGTGTTCGCGCCGCCCCCCCCCCCATTGTGCACGCGCTGTGCCTGGTAAATTCTCTCCCCAGCGCCTCCTGGGTCTTTTCCCATTTATTTAAAAGCACCCAAAGCCACACCTGTGCTGAAGTATTTTTACCGCCCCCCCCCCCCTTTAGTTGCTCTAATGCTCACATCGCTATCGATTTGTTGGCCTTCAGCGTGAGCGCCCCTAGGCCAGCTGTTTGCAATGTTTCCTTTGCCAGCCAGGGCGCAGGCAGACTTAAATAGGATTGCGTTTCCTTATCTGTTTTTCGAGTTGCCTATATGAGCTGGCAGATATATACCTTGGTTCGAGGTGCTGGAAAGCTGATGGGAGCCCATAGCAGGTAGTTTCCTTGCACTTGTGGCACCAGTGGTTTTAGTGGAATATGTTAATGGCATTTGTCTTAGTTGCCAGGTAATGCCACAGCTCTGGGGAGCTGTAACTGTGGGCCAACACCACCTGGGCATAGACTGCATAGGGTTAGCTACAGGAAAGGGTATTACAACCGCTGATAACATTTGAGAAGGAGGTATAATGACTTAATGAGGGCAGCTCTTGAGGTTGCAATGCTCCTGGATAGAGGAATTACTCTTCTTTCACAGGTCTCAAACTAATGTTCCCCATGTTTTGTTTTTGTTTTGTTTTGTTTTACACAAAAGCCTTTTGCTTTTATTATCCGTGCATCATCATCATCTTGTGTTTAGGTGCATTCTAACTGCAGTGAATCACATGATATCTTAAAGCTAGTGAAAATTTTAAAAAAGGTATTCAATCAGTAGGTAACTTACTACTCTTCAAATGTACATGTAGGGTGCATCTAGACGGGCAAGATTTTGTGCAAAAGTGGCTGCTTTTGTGCAAAAACTTGCCAGTTGTCTACACTGGCTGCTTGAATTTGCACAAGAGCACTGACGTTCTACTGTCCGAAATCAGTGCTTCTTGCGCAAATACTTTGACGCTTCCGCTCAGGGATAAGCCCTCTTGTGCAAGAATACTTGCGCAAGAGGGCCAGTGTAGACAGGCACCTTAATTTTTTGTGCAAGAAAGCCCAATAGCTAAAATGGCCATCAGAGCTTTCTTGCGGAAAAGCATGTCTATACTGGGCATGGATGCTTTTGCACAAAAGCATCCATGCCAATCTAGACGCTCTTTTGCGGAAGTACTTTTAACGGAAAAACTTTTCAGTTAAAAGTATTTCCGCAAAATCATGCCAGTCTAGATGCAGCCGTAGTGATTCAGTCATCTGATGCCATGTTTAAAAGTACAGGTTTCCTATGTGGCCAACCATGCTTTGCTAGAGCTCAATGATTTCAGAGCAAATCAATATCTTTATATTCATGCCTAGCTGCTACTGTGATTGGTGTGGTATAAATGTGTGCATAAACAGCTATTCAATTGATATGTAGGGTTTTTTTTCCCCTTCCCAGATTCAAACTACCTATTTGATGCATATTTTTATTTATATTACAGAAACTATGTGTTTAGTAGTTACGCTGCAGTCATTAACACCTTTCTTTGAGTGAGATCTGGTAGACCTTTAATTATTGGAAGTTTTATTTTCTTAGTTCATAATGAGCGCACATATAAGGTGTTCTTCAATGAATGTGCTTTCTGTTACAATGCAATTTTTTTGTACTGTGACTTGTAAGCCACCAGTTTATGCTAATAGGTGAGTTCTGAGAGGACCTCCCTGCACATGCTTTGTTGTTAATTGACTAATAAAAAGAGTGCCTGTTTTTAATGAAAATGAACCAAGAGTAATGTGCTGCACCCAAACTTCCAAGGAGAGGCTGACTCAGAGAAAGAGTTCAAGCAACATAAATTAGTGCTGGGGTTGATGTATACATAAACTTGCACCAATGTAACTTAATTAATATCCTAAAACCAGCATAGTTATTTTGTTGCAAGTCCAGGTGGATGCTGATTTTGGAAGAATCCACACTGGCACTGAAATAATTAAATCATTTGTTATACACAGCTGCTGTTGTTTTAGTGCAGGTTTGTAGGTAGATTAGCCTGTTCCAAGGTCCTGTATACATCCCCATACTGACATGTGGAAGGGTTCCCTGCAATGAGAAAAGCACTCAACATCTGCTCCACAATACCTAGAAATATAGAAAACTAGAAAGGGCATTGAGAGAGATCATCAAGACCAGTCCCCTGCTCTCATGGCAGGACCAAGAATGGTCTCTATCATCTCTGATAGATGTCTGTTTAACCTGCTTTTAAATATCTCCAGTGATGGAAATTCCACAACCTCCCTAAGGCAATTTATTCCAGTGTTTAACCACCCTGACAGTTAGGAAGATTTTTTCCTAATGTCCAACCTAAACCTCCCTTGCTGCAGTTTAAGCCCATTGCTTCGTGTTCTCTGTGATCTGGCCCACAGATAACTTACAATTTCAAAAAATTAACTGAGTGCTAGTGATTGTTTTCCAAACTGACTCCTATCATTCAAAACTGTAGAAATGTACTGTCTCTAGATGTGGAACACTTTGTCTCCTCATGTTTTTATACTTCCCTTTACTCATACAGAAACTTTGGAATCTTCAGACACTGCTGTTACCAAGATCCCTCCATATCAGCTGAGGTAAGGAAACACAAATGTTTTGGATCATGTGATTCCCTGGGCATTGTCAAAGCCTGCAAAGAGTCAGAAATGTACAGAACTATATTAATGATATACTGAAAAAACAACAAATAGTCTGGTAGCACTTAGACTAACAAAACATGTAGATGGTATCATGAGCTTTCGTGGGCACAGCCCACTTCTTCAGTTGACCAGAGTGTTGGATGTCTAGGACCAAAATAAATAGGGGAGACGGGAGGAGGGGCGGGTGGAAGAAAAGAAAATTGGGAGGGAGAGAAAAAGAAAAGGCATGGGTAAAAAAAAAATCATTGAAAGTTGAGCTGGAAAGCAATATCGGATTTGTGTCCATTAATTTTTTCACATAGGGACTGTCCAGTTTGTCCATATATATTGCTGTGGGGCATTGCTGGCATTTGATGGCATAGATTAAATTACTGGATGTGTAGTTGAATGAGCCTCTGATTTGGTGGCTTATGTGGTTGGCTCCAGTAATGAGTTCACTTGAATAAATATGTGGGTGGAGTTGGCACCATGGCTGATTGCAGGGATGGGTTCCTGGTTGTTTTTTCAGTTTACCTGTACAGACTAACTTGGCTATCCCCTGAAGCTATATTAGTGATGTTCAGGGAAAGGAAGGCTGGACTATGGCAGGCTCTCACTCATGATGGAAGCCTGCTTATTGTCACTTTCTTTCAGTCTGAGAGACTGTATTGTTAAATCTGGGTCATTCAGTATGTACTGGAAACTGGTAGGCTGTGTGGTTGAGCTAAAACAATGAGTTGGAACTCAGGAACCCTAGTGTTGGTTTTGCTACTGACCTACTGAGTGACCTTTGGGCAAGTCACTGCATTGTTCCATGCCTCAGTTTCTCCATCTGTAAAAGTGAGAATAAAGATACTGACTTCCTTTGGTAAAATACCTTGGGATCTCCTGATGATAAATGCTATGTAAGGGCTACATAGTATTATTTTAGTTATTCAGTCTTTTGTATCGTAAGTAGCAGTGAACTCTCACTGTTAGGCAAATAGTAAATTGCAATTAAGAAAAGGGATTTTGTTTCCAAATGGTCACTTTTTAGTCAGTCATTTCCATTTGAGTTTTAGTTCATAAGTTGCTTTATGCTTCCTTAGCAAGTCTAAGCTTTTATCTTGTGAACACTAGTTGTTTTTTCTTGACAGATCTCACTGCAGCATTATCCCAGGAGCAGTTTCACTGCTGGTCGTAACAAAGTTCTGGTAATCGCTAGGGATGTTAGATAGCATGTAACTGAATAGTCATGTAACCACATCAAATTTTAGCGGTTACACAACTGTTCAATAGCACTCCAGTCCCAATCCTGGGGAGCCCCCTGCCACCCCATTCTGCTGACTGATACAGCAGCAGCCCCTGTCCATGGGAGGCCTGATCTCCTCACACACAGAGGCTGTACCGGCATCCATGAAGAAGCCTCAGATAGAGAAAGCAATGCCGAGAGGTAGGGGGGAATGGAGAAGAGAATGTCTGTGGGAGGCAGCAAGGGGTGGGGGCCTGAGTCAGCACACACGGAGACCCAGCTTAAAAGCTGGCTCCCCACACATGTTGGCTCCTGCCTGCCCCCCTCCTCTCTTCTTCTCCCCACCTCCCAGCTGCTGACTCTGATAGAGAAGCAGCAATGTGGGAGGGGACAGGCATCTCCACAGGAGCCAATACATACGGGGTGTTGGCTTGAAAGCCAGCTACCCCAAGCACTGACTCCTGCCTGTCTCTCCCTCCCTCCTCCCACACACACTCTGCTGCCTCTCAGTCAGAGGCAGCAGTGCAGAGGGATGGGGCAGGTGGCTCTATATGGGATCTGGTGCTTGTGGGGAGCCTGCTTAAAAGCCAGCTCCTCACAGGCACCGGCTCCTGCCTCCCCACTTCTCCTTGCTGTCTCTGATACAGAGGGAGCCAGGTGGGGGGAGTGCACATAGTCAACAGGATTAACTGTTATCTACATGCTGACAATCATGTAGTTGTTTACAGGCTGACATCCTTATTAGTCACCAGTACTTTTACTGCCACTTTGAGAACCACTTCCTTAATGGAAGAAAACCTTGTCTATGGCTGCTGGGGGTTCTCTCCCAACCTCACAGGTGACCCAAGCACTGGCCTCAAAGCCTTTGCAGGATCTACCCATTAGCAATGGGTACAATCTACCCCTCAAGATCTCCATTCCTGCCCCTGGACATGCACAATATTCAGATTCACTGCTCCCAAAGCAATCGTACACCCCAAATCACCACTTGGCTTAATATGCAGCACGTAGATTTATTGTTAAGAGAAATGAGGTGTACATTTATTTAGCAGAGAACAGAGATTTGAGAAATGACAAATAGAAGTTTTGGAAACAAATGGTATTTAAAAAAAAAAAAAACCCTAACATGCATATTATAGCCTAGAATTGGAGCAGGGACAATCTTGGCTGGGACAGATCAATCCCAGACTCAATCCAGTTCTCATCCCTCTTAACCCTCGCTCCTATTAAAATTTACTCCTGCTGCTGTGGTTGTGGTGGAATGCAGCTCAGTGGGGCCTGAGGATCTGGTCCAGAATGTTTAATGATGTCAGATTATAATAGAAAATTCACTTGAGTTTGTGCAAGCCAAATAACATCCTCCCTAGTTCACAGACCCCATTGATGAGTGAGCTATGTGATGCTAACATGTAGGAAGAGAGTGCAAATATTGGAATATCAACAGTTTAGGGCATAGGTGTTTCTACCATGTTCTCCAAAGGGGACAGTTTAGTGGATTTCCTGTCTTAGTTATCCAAAATCTTGAGTCTTGTGTGTGCAAGAGAAACATGCTCCTCCCCCCCATTTATCCCGTAGAAGAGTGGGTGTGTTCTTACAGTGTGCAGATCCAAGAAGCCAACATCTGATGACTGTGCTTTATTGCATTATGTTTTTGGTAGCAAGTTCAAAACTAAGTTAAGGATGTAGAGGGTCTTTCTTTCTCTGGTTTCCTTCCTATAAGGTAAGGGAACCGGGGGGTTGAACGGGGGCTCTGAAGAGGAGAAAGAAAGGGAGCTGTGGTGTGATGTGTGGGGAGGCCGGCACCAGCATGTCTTCTACATCTTTGTTTCATAGTGATTAAATGAAAAGTCAGTGAGTCCAGTTTCAAAACCAGTCCCTGTAGATTCAGTGGGGGCTGTTCCTAATGTTTTCTCTGACTCTGGTCTAATTGAGCTGTACTTTGCACAGAGAGGCCCACCAACAGTAGACAAAAGGAACAGTTGCCCTGGGCCCCGGTGATTCAAAGGGACCTGGGACTTGCTGCTGCTACTGTGACAATGGTGCGACAGGGATCGTGGGCCCTTCAAAATTACTGCTGGAACGCTGCACTGTGTGATGCTGTCACTGGCCCCACCTCTTCTGTCCAAGGCCCCACCCATTCTAGGAGCATGGAGCCACCTTCTCCCCCTTCCTCCACCTTGCCCAAGGGAACTACACAGATCCTGGGGTAGTTCTCAGCCAATTCTGACTTCCTCAGCCTTAGAACTGACCAGGGGCCAGTTTAGTCCTGCAGTTTCCGGCAAAACTTTAGAGCAGCTAAGGTTTCTCTACGTTCTGCAGGCAGAAATGGTTCCAGTGGCTGGGGATCACCAGAATGCAGGGCTGGAGGAATGCACTGGGGGAGCGCACCTTGATGTTTACAGGGGATGTTGTGGTGGCTGTTCTGTCTAGGAACTCCCAAGAGGATTTGTCTCCCTAATCTCTTTCCGTGGTTGATGAATTTAATCTGCCCTCATATTTCATGCTGAAGTACTATAATACTGTATACATACCAAGAGCCAGGAAGAAAATCTGTAAAGACAAATTAGGGAAAATGTCCTAATTTGTTCTTTTCCCTATACAATTTCTGTGATTCTGGAGCAAATGGAATACAGTAGCATGGCCTCATTAAAATACTATGCAAAATTCTGGCAATAATATAGTCTTCTTACAATGTTGGTCAAAGAATTGCATTCACTAACACTATCTCTAATCAGTGATCCAGCTGGAATTAAGATGATTCATGTTGGCCTCAAAGCATATAGAGATCTGGTATGATGGATGCTCTCCCAATTGTTTTTTAAAAGTAATCTTTATCTACATAAGGATCTATCTGATTCCACAAAAGTGAAGGCAGTTCTGATGTACACCTGTTGCTCTATTCTTAGCTTCCCCTGTTGGATGGCACCTATATATTATTGAACATATGGTATGTTAGATCAAACGGTTTCCCTGGGCCTTTGCACCAAATGCAGCTTTTTTATCATGGCTGCTGCTTCCAAGGCAACCTCAGCACTTCTTGAACGAAGTACCTATTACAGAGGACAGCACCTGAGATGGATTTTGCTCCTGGCCAGCTGTGTTCAGCAGTATTTGGACAGTTAAGGAAGGGGAGGCAGCCTTGAATGTCACTGCTTTTAACTGAGTCCCATTGGCACAAAGTAGGGAGATGTGGCCATTCAGCTCCTCTTGATGTTATTAGGCTTTATGGGGTTAAAACCCTGAAAAACACTGTGAAGATTATCACAGTTGAGGGACTTCAATTGTAATGTCTTGCATCCCAAGAAAAGTAGTCAGCTCTAGACACTGAGGCCTTTCATTTTCCCAGTGCCCATGTCCATGGTTTTTCTTGCACTGCTGTATCAATGTAGCTCAGTTCTATCCCAAGGAGACTGTACTGAGGGAGAGGGGGAAGGTTACAGGCTCATTCTGTCCTTGAATGTCAGAGGGGACTGCCAATATGGGCATCGGCTGGAAAGGCAGGAGGGTTTGGGGTAAAGACAATCTGAGTTTGGTCCTGCATGTGTCATGACTTCCTGTGCAACCTTGGATGTATCACCTACTCTCTGTATGACTTGGTTATAATGCTACCCTAATTTACAGGGTGCTGTGAAGATAAATGCATAGTCAGATGATGGCTTTATAAATATCTAAAGTCAAATGGAGGCACCATTTTTAATGACCACATGTGTCCAATAGAAAATGGCCT